ACTTAGGAACACAAGAAATATGGAAAAGCAAGCTAACACAACATCCAGTAAAGCTCATATTTCACTTACAGTAACTGACCCCAAATATATTGATTGAAGTATATGAAACATCAAATAAGGAATTCAAAAGAATCATTACAAAGATGATCAATGAATTCCAAGAGAATACTGAAAAACAACTTAATGAATTAAGGAAGTCAATACAGAACACAGAGGAGAAATTCCTATCAGGAAATAGAAATATCGAAAAAGGACAGAAATCCTGGAAATGAAACACACTAAAAATAAAAAGTTCGGCTGAAAATCTCTCTAATCGAGTAGACCATGCTGAAGGCAGAATCTCAGAGCTGTAAGAAAAAGTAATCAGCCTTGAATATTCAGACACTATTAAAGAAAACGAGTAATCATGATCAGAATTTACAGGAACTTTGAGTCAACATTGAGAGACCAAATTTAAGAGCCACTGGACATGAGAAGTGTTCTGAGATTCAAGCTAAGGGAACTGATAACCTCTTCAGGTAAATAATGACAGAGAATTCTTCAAAAACTTGAGAATGAGATGGAAATCCAGATACAGGAGGCATTCAGAATCCCAAATAGGCAAGATCACTAAAGAACCTCTCCACAACATATTGTAATTAAAATGCCTAACATACAAAACAAGGATAGAATTTTAAAATCCCCAAGACAAAAATGTCAGGTTACATTTAGAGGCAAGCCTATCAGTATCACTTCCAGTTTCTCTGCACAAACTCTAAAAGCCAGAAGGGCTTGAAATGATGTGCTCCAAATCCTGAAAGAAAATAACTGTCAACCAAGACTGCCACATCCAGCAAAGCTATCCTTCAAGATCAAAATGGAAATAAAATCCTACCCAGATAAGCAGAAACTAGAATTTATGACACCTAAACTTGCACTACCAAACTTATATAACAAAATGCTTCACACAGAAGAAATCAAAACAAACCCCGGAGTATAAAAATGAACAAATCATATTTGAGGAGTAGCAAAGCAAATGAGAAATAAGACCAAATTAAACATTACAAATAAATCCAAATTGCAGTAATTAATGAATAGCTCTGTAATAACATTGAACATAAATAGTCTCAACTCTCCAATTGAAAGACACAGGCTGTCAGAATGGATTAAAGAAACAAGACCCAACTGTATGTTATTTGCAAGAGGTACACCTTAGGGGCACATACAATCACAGGCTAAAAGTAAAAAGGTGGAAATGGATATACAAGGCGATTAGAACCTTAAAAAAAAAAAAGAACAAAACAAAACAAACAAAAAACCAGAAGTAGCAACTCTCAAATTTGACAAAGCAGACTACAAACCAAAATTAAATTAATCAGAAGAGATAAAGAAAGTCACTTCAGACAGGTAAATGTAGAAATCAAAAAATATGTAGCTAATTACACAGCAGACATTACTTAAACTGAAGCCTCACGGAGACTCCAGTACAATAATACTGGTGATTTCAACATACCTCTCTCACGTTAAATAGATCATCCAGATTTAAACCTCAGTAAAGACTCTTTGGACATGATAAATATTACAACTCAAATGGACTTAACAAATATCTATAGAATGTTTCATCCAACAACAAATGAATACATTTTTTTCTCAGAAACTCATGAAACCTTCTCCAAAATAGACCATATTTCAAGTCTCAAAGAACTCT